TTTTTTTTTTTTTTTTTTTTTTTTTTGGTTTTTTGAGACAGGGTCTCACTATGTAGTTGAGACTGACCTGGACCTCACTATGTAGCCCAGGCTGGTCTCAAACTCACAGTGATCCTCCTGCCTCAGCCTCCCGAGGGCTGGCATTACAGGCGTGCGCCACCACGCCCGGCTAAAATGTGCTTTTAAAGCATGCAGAAACTGACTAATAATGCCATTCAGATATTACTTTGCTGAAAGGCCCCTATCAAGAGTGGCCCATGGACCTCAGCCCTGTTCTACAGCTTCATCGGCCCAGCTGAGCCTTGGCCCGCTACACACAGGAGTCGCAGCGCACCCGATGCTGACTGCCGCACTCTGTGAACAAATGCAACACCACACAGCCCCGTTCTTCGTACAGTTACTCACACCTATCACTGGTTTTGAATCCTCTTCTAATTATTTATATTTTCGCATCTTTACATTCTTATGTTAGAGATAAATGGCTGAGGATCATTTGCAGAATCCATTGTTTACCAAAGTGATCTAGAACCATGTATTGCTAGTATACGAATGTGAAAAAATTATATATAAAATATTTATTATATAATATATACATACATATACACACACGCGCGCGCACACACACACTCAAAATTAGTATAGTGGATACACATTGGAATGGAAACAAGAAAACTAATGCAAACAAATCCCCAGGATGTTTAGGGAACAAGTGGAAGTTGGGATTTGACAGACGATGCCCTTCCGTGCTTTTTTCTCTTTTCTAGGAAAGCTCCTCATAGCTTTGTCTCTTTTGTGTTTAAGATCGGAGCACAGTGCTACTTGGAGTGCTCAGCCCTGACTCAGAAAGGTCTTAAAGCAGTTTTTGATGAAGCAATCCTCACCATTTTCCACCCCAAGAAAAAGAAAAAGTGCTGCTCCGGTTGTCACCGCTGCTGCTCAGTTATCTGAGGTTTCTCCAGCACCGCTCTCCACTCCAGCTCGGGAGAGGACAGCAGGCAACCTCTCCCACCAGCTCCAGCCAGAAAGGAGGGCCCAACAGAGAGGAAGTCCCGCCCTGCCCGTGAGCTCTCTGGAGCAGCCTGCTAGCCCGCCAACTGCCACCTCCCCCTGCCATCCCGAAGCAGCCACACTGCACGTGCAACCAGAATGCTGAACCTGGATCTCAAACAGGCCCGCTGCTGAGAATGCGGGAAACAAAGGCCAAGGCCACCTTGCATTTTACAGCTCCCCTCCCACGAGCGCAGAACTGATGGAGATCATCACAGCAAAACCGAAAGAGGAACTTGGTTCCTGCGTTGGTAGCCTTACTTCATGTCTTTTGCAAAACTTAGGAACGCAATACTAATCTCTTTTCCTGAAACTGCTGTTTTCACCCATGTGTCTTACATATATTTGTGTTATTTCAAGAAATCTCCAATTGACTCAGGTCTTACAAATCCATACCAAAGTAGCCTAAAGACAAGGTGATTCATGATCATTTCAATTTTGGGCAGGTGTCTGCCAAATTTATGGGAACCAACATATACCTCTGAACGCCTAATTACAAGATACAAGAATACTTTTAAGCTTTTGGAAATTTACAAAGCCATAATTTTTTAGCCTGGTTTAAAAAAAAAAAAAGCACCATCTGAATTATTACTGGTCCACATTTTTTGGCCAAAGATTCACTCTACAAATGCTTACACTGTAGATAGGCTGCTTTTTTCATATCATATTGCCAAAGCTAATTAAAAATGAACTGTATTTAAGAAAGTAGCATTTCTGCTTTTCATCCAAATTGACTGGGGAAGAAAATGGCAGCACCTGTGTTTTAAAATATTCTTCATTCAGCAGACTGGACTCTCCTGCTTCCTCCCTCCCCGTGCAGCCCTTTCCCTTTCTTGGTTTTATACTTTCTCCCATGCCCTATTCCTTTTGTTTCCCCCAATACAATCACAACCTGACCTAAAAGAAAGATCTGGGCATTGGATGTGAAAAGGAAAACGTTTCACAGTACTCACAAATCAGGCAAAGTGCCTCCATTTTTGAACTTGCTTCGACAAAAAGTGCTTCTCAGCTTGCCCCATGTAAGTTCCCATTCTAAAGGGAACTGGCCTTCCTGCTCATTCTCCCAAATATCTGTGTAGGAACTCCCTTCGCAGGTGTCAAGCTCTGGGCTCATTTCCAGAACAATGCACTACATACAATATGGAGCTGGCCCTAGGAAAGTCAAAGCCCCGATTACTTACCCTTTCTATATGAAAATTCCTTTTATTCTATTGCATAAGTGAAGCTTATCTTTACATGTACAATTACGCCAAGTTTTTCCAGAGTCAAGCTCCCCCTAATGAAGAGACCACTCTCTCTAGTCCCTTCTACTCATAGAGGAGCCACGTAATAAAAGAACTGTATGCTATGGGTCTTTTCTCTTAAGACCTTCTATAAGAACTCTTCAGTCTTTGGGATTCTATTCATTTAGAATTTCTAAAATGTGTTTTCCTTTCTCCCATATTTCAAGTACTATTGCCCTTCTCATCTAACTGATAAACAGTTTTCAAACACACACACACACACACACACACACGTACACAAGCGTGCGCGCGTAAAGGAAACAGGAGTTTTGTTAAGTCAAAGTTTGACATTTAGTGAAAACAAAGACTTTCTGCATTTGTACATGGAAGTCAACCGTGTATGAACAATAACTTTGCATAGGTTATGAATTTCTCCTTTATAAGTAATAATGAGCATTTAGCCCTGTAATAAAGGAAGCGCTGTTAGCCAGTTTTGTTGCATCATTGCATAGTTATATCTTGCTGAAGAGCCACTCCTCACTTCTCATTGATGTGGATGAAAAATGGAAAGCAGTATGTTGGCTCCACCAAGAAAAATGTTCCAGATGTGTGCATTCAACCGGCAAGTAGCACCTAGGTCATCACCTCCTAATGGGCCACTAGGATTAACTTGTTCGTGGTGGGAAGATCACTCTCTCGCCTAGAACCAAAACCTGTACAGAGACCATTAGTGTCTGAACAGAGCAGACTCCAAGAGGTCGTAGGGGCTAATTACAAAGTAAAATCATGTAGAACAAAGCAATGTAAATGAGTTCATGTCATTCCAGCACATTAATAATTCACTCCCTGTCTTATGGCAAGATCTAGTTCATTTCATTAAAAAGTGTTTTCTGCCATAAGGTTGAATAAAAGTGTTCTGAAATTAAAAATAAAAAGGCATAGAAATCTAAGAAGGATCCTTTAATGGTCCATACAATGAGCAGTCACGTGAGGGTAAAATCTTCACTTTGCAGATTTAGAAAAGGTATCAGAAACTATGGTCCAATCTTCATTGTACACTTGAGAAACTCAGCCTCCATGGGCTAAGAGAGGTGCTGAGGAAGATTTGGGCAGATCTCAGCTTTTCTGCTCAGTGCCTTCCAACCCCATACTGTAAGTTCTTCATGTTTACACATATTAACCTGGAGTTTTGTAGGTATACTGCTGAAGATCCAGTGTTTATCCTACAGATCTCAGCCACATTTTTAGCATATAAATTCATGTAGCCATCCCACTATAAATAAGGTAATCTATCAAACTAGCAATAAACTGGACTACAGAGCAATGTAATCCCAAGCTCATGACTCAGTCAAGTGGCTAGTTTGACCAATATTCTTTTTTCATTCAGATGATCGGTCACTGAATAGAATAAGTGGATGCCCTGGACGATTTTGGAAGCATAAAAGGACTAAGACACAAGTCAAAGCCACAGCCATAATTAGAAATGTGGGCTGATTTTTGCCAAGAACAATTAGATTCGAAGAACAATTACTGAAAGCAATAACTATTGCTGCTCTAAACCGGAGGTGCTAGGTTGGAAACTCAAAACCTAAGCCGTATATGTATGACAGGAGAGGGCTTTGGTGCTGAGACTTCAATGACAATGTTTCTGATAATGACATGCAAAGAGCCATTTGAAAGATTTCTGGTCCATCAGAGAAGTACTAAAGGAAGGGGACGTAGCCATAGACAGTTTTCATTTGAATCACCAAGCATAACATGAATACATGCCTGACAATTCTCCTGGAGAATTGTTAGCGTCTGCCTGCTCTCTAGAAATGGACAAGAAAGGAAGGCTGCTGCTGAGAGAATGCCATGATCAGCAGCACAAATCACTAGATTATCTCGCCTTGTGATTTGCTACAAACGAACAGCGTCCTGAACAAAGCTCTTTGGGTCTTTAGCAACAGGGATGGAAGAGTCATCCTCTCACCTACTCTGTTCGTATACAGCAGGAAGCCAAAGGAAACTTTCCAAGAAATACGAGCGAATCGGTAACTTTGAAAGTTTCCTTGAGCGTGAACATGACTTAAAACCTGGAAAGGATGATTTGGAGGTATCCAGAAAGATCATTATTTGGATGCATGGTATTTATTCATCTTCAGTGGGATAGTTCCAGACAGAAAGGTTGCATCTAATACGCACAAATACAATAACAGAATGCAAAAATGTAAGATAAAGCAATCAGTCGCAGTGTTTCAATAGTCAGCAAAGGCCAGGAAGGAAATCAGAGCACCAGGCTCTCTGCTTAGTTTCACTTCAGCCATCAGAAGCTCACCCACGCTCTCTGGGGACCTCTCTGAGTCAGGGAAAGAAAGAATCTGAGGGGGTCTGGTTCATCTGTGAAATGGTGGGATGCAAGTTCAACAACTGTTGTCAGCTTGGAAATTCCACTAACAGGAAATGAGAGTAAAAGTCGCATGATTAATCTTGGTTGCAATCTATTTTTTTTTTCTTCCTCCTTGGAGGATGTTATGTAAGAAAGAAAACAAAACTAAGGTTGCTTTGTTGTGTGTTTTTTAAATGTGTTCCATCCTGGTGGTTTCATTTTATTCTATGAGTTCTGTAATAACTTAGAAACTTCTGAAGCCACAGCTAGAGTTTTTTTTTTTTTTT